CATTCGTAAAAAAAGTCGAGTTTCAAGTCTCAGATTCAACTCTAACTTCACAATGGCCCTTTTTATTTATTAAGCGCATGAAATTGACAAAAACGATAGCTGTGGCGAAATCAAAAATGCCAGTTCCTAAAGAGGTGAAGGCAACCATTAGTTTCTCAGAGAAGCATAGGCTGCTTACTGAGTGAGAATATTGTAAAATAGTGGATGGCATCGAAGAGGATGATTAGTCACTTTCTTAAACTAAGAGCAGTACGATCGCAGCAGAAGTTTCGCGATTTTGAGCCGTTGAATTTTGTTGCTTGTGGGAAATTAAAATAATAGTTTTGATTTTCAGTTAAAACAACGCCCATTTCTCTCAAACAAATCGTGCTGCTCCTCAACTCGCTTCAAAATACTAGGGGTTTTCCAAGAACCCAAAAAATGTTACCCCGGGCATGATGTATTTTTCAAAATCACTGATAACCGCTTCATATGATTCTGCGTGATATGGCGCTGTGTCGGGTAGCAAATCACGTAGATATCCTGGTTCTATTGCCGGTACCACACGTTTTTTGTGAATATTTTGCACGTAATCCACAATATAGTCCACCATTTCTTTACCGTATTTACGGAAATCGTTGCTGCTCATACCGCCTGCTTGTGAATTAGTTAGCAAAATAAAATGCGTAATTGCTTGTGAATGGTTGCAGAATCATTTAGGCAGCATGCGGATGAAAGTGTGAGAACAAAGCAGATCATACTTTTTTAGGGAGCAACTGATAAATTTTCTTTATCGTTTTAAAATTCCGACACATTACTCATTTTTTCGTGTTCATCATATTATAAAATTTCATTATCGGTTCTTACTTTTTGAATAAAGTGTAATTTTCTGCCAGAAATGCTCTTTTTAATTAATTTTCCTGTAAAGAGTTCTTCCTCCTTCCTTTTAACACAAAAAGAAATTTGCAAATAGAAATCAAGGATCTTCTTACAAAATAATATATAAACTTGCTGGTCAGTGATTCTGGTTAACTTTTTTGCAATCATTTGCCAAATGAACTGAATGATAGGAATTTTTTAGAAAGGCGTGATTGGCTGAAACTGTTTCACCCTTATTAAAAAATACTTATAGGATTTTCCAATTTTTCAGTATAGCCTGATATATTTCGAAATACAGCATCTTGATACTTATTAGTTTTGACGATCTATCGAAAGATGGCGGGTGAATACAACACCGTGAAAAATAACGGAGTTTTTGAAAATTTTTCCATCAACAATACTAGAAAAGTCAAGAATAAAATACTTTTTAACTGTTTTTTGAAAAAACAAATTTAGAGCTTACCTTTAGTTGATGTAGCCGCTTTTTCTTCCATGGTTTATTTTTGTAATGGTCACAATTTTCTGAAATG